GGAGTGGATACAGGTCCCATGGGAACGAGTTTCAACTTCCACTTCTTTCCCCACATGCTGGGGATCCTCAGCCCAACACAGGCGCTGTCAGGGCTGACCCCAACTAGGGTACCTGCCAACGTTCTTTTTTTTTTTTTCTCTCCAATGCTCTTAAAATGATTTCCGCAGAGAGCCCATTTTCCATCTTCTTTCTCCAAAGCTACATAAGAATGAAGTATTTCTTCTTCCACAAATAACGACTCCTCCCTGGAATATGCTCACCACTGGGACTAATCTATGGCCTATGAAAATTTGCAATGCTTTCACATTAAATGTAGACAACACTGCATACAGATAGGATCTTGGCGAGCAGCAGTGTTTGTGATAGGTCATAGTATTTCCATGTTTTACTATCGCCTTCATCTTAAACACACAATTGCTATAGCTGTTTCCAAGACAGTATGCACAAAAATATTAGACGTGTTGAATCTTGTCTTCCTGTTCATAGGATCTGAGGCAGAGCCACAGATGTCTAACATTCAAGCATTTATTTGTTCCTATTCTTGTTTATAGGTCCTGAGATGGAGTTTCTTTAGGGGTAGGGGGCAAATCAAGTCCATATATGGAAGGAGACAGAGCAGTGTCGGGAACTGTCCACATACCTTTAGCATGTAGTAGAAGGGGAACCAGGACAGGAAGAGGTCAGAGAAGAATTCGGCAATGCTGAACACACCGTACACTACCCAGTAGGTCAGCCACTGGGTATCATCTTCTTTGTTGGGACTCTCTATGGCTTTAATTCTGAAAGGCAATATAAAAGCAAGTATATCATGTAGTAGGATCTCAATGAAACATTTTCAAACATACTTCCACAGCCTGCCCTCCACCACCAACTGAGAAATACAGGCAAATGTATCCACTGTGTCACTAGACACAAGAGCACAGCTAAAGACAGGAAGCAAGTGGAGCTCAGGACAAGTCTGACTATTTGTTCCAGTGTTTTGGTCGCCAGAGAAACCAGTACCAGCTGTCACCTGGTCTCCACCCTGCTCAGCCTCCACCCAGGCCCCAGGAGACACTGCCCACGACTGGGAAGCCGAGTAATTCCCACTCCCAGGGGGTTCCTGCTGCCAGGGATATATCAAAAATTCTCTCATAGTAACACAGTTCTCGTGTACTTTTAATAACTGAGGCACATCATGGGTGAATATGAGTTTTCTCTTCTGTGCTTTATCTGAGTGTGGTTTATCTATTTATATCTAAGAGGGTTTTTAAAGTTATTAGTGTGATAAAATTTTATTTCTTATACATTTATCCTGGGCAGAGGGGATGCACAGTTATATTTCACTTAAGGCCTTAATTTTGGGAACTAAAGCAGTCATGAGTAAGTAAACACACATATCCACACATAAACTGCTAAACATTTCATGAAACCAGCCAATAGTTTAAATTCTATTCTATCATTATTTTTAAGAAATTAGTCAAGATCCAGATTCAAAAACAGAAAAGCTACCCTAACAATTCAAGTACAGTGCTTCGAGGAGAAAAAATAAATAAAAAAGGTTAGCTCCTTTACTTATCAACAATATGAATTCAAAACTTTCTACGTTAATACACCTGGAACATTATGTGGTAACAGTGAAAATAGAAACAAACTCAAAATTGAACACACACGTTGATCACAACATTGTAGAAAACCAGGGCAATAAAAGATAGGAAAAGACCAGTCTTATTAAGGTGAAGAGATTTTTAAATAGAACTGCTCATATTACTGAAGCATTTAATTATTGCTTTAACTTAAAACACAATGTTTATTTTTAAAAATGTCTACATGTCATAACATCATAAACTAGTCAGAACAAGAAAGAACACTGAAGACAGTCTCACCCATTCAGTTTATAGTTGAGGAACCTGAGACTCAAAAAGTAGACAAGAGCTTAAAACTGGGGGTTCCTGAATGCTATGTACTTATATACTTTCTTGTCCAGGTGAGGTGACACAGATGATGCTTCAATAATACATCCTACTGCCTTGTACATATATTGAATCATATTTCAACTTTTGTGTCAGGAGGATGTATCAACTTAGACAACATAAAGAATTCAAGAAATTATAGGATGCACTCTATACCCTTAAATCATTTGCAGTCCAGCCAAAATGGGAAAGTTAAAGAAGGGAGGGGTAAGGAGCTTTATAATTATTTAATTTAACTCTCACAATAGCCCTATGAAATAGGTGTTAGAGGAAGAAACAGAGACATGGCCGGATATGCAGAAGATGGTTGACAACAGTATAGGAGCAGCTCTCAGCTCTAAAAATTCACTGAGCAGCATTAGAAATCATAGGATGTGGAGTTGGAAGATATCTTAGAGATAAACTAGTTTACATTCTACATGTTATAGACAACAAATGGATTTCAAAGAGGAAAGAGTGATATTAAAAAAAATGAATTTCAACTCAAACTATAAGATTACAGAGGCATGTGTCCATTCATTTTTTAAGGGCAACATGAACTGTTTAAATACATTTTTGGTATATCCATACGCTGAAATATTTGAAGCCTTTAAAAAGGATATTGACAGGGGAAAATGTCTAAGATATAGTGTTGAGTGTAAAAAGGAGATTACTAATTTTGTGTGTATGTTTACAGATTAAGAATGGTGTCCAAAAATTGCTAAAGCTATTTCTGAGTATTGGAATAACAGAATTTTAGTGTTGTGTTTTGTCTTTTTTTTTACTGTCTTTGCAATGAGCATGTACTATTTTTTATAACCAAAGGAAGGAAAAAGATTTCTATTTGGGGGGGAAAAAAAGAGCACCAGACTTACTATACCTACTTCCTCCTATGGGATTAGGTCACTCATTAGGGCTTTGTTAAAAACAAACACTAAAGTGAACATCAGACACATTCCTTAATTTCTCTCTTGAGGAAACAGCTCATGGGTTATTTTTTACAAATAAACTTCTCTAACAATGATCAGACACAATCTGTTGTATTTTAGAGCATTCAAAGGCCTTTAATACACACAAAGACACACAGAGAAGAGCCATACAGCCCATCCCATGAAACTAATTCATCCTAACTTTCTAGTTAAAGCAAACTATCCAAAAAAAAAAAAATTAACTATACTGAACTATGAAATAGCCAGACTTTTTCCTCCATTTCTTCCCAATGCTCATCTGGCTTTATATCATTTCACCATCCTTAGCTTGCAGTTTGTATTCTGCTTCTACCACTTAGTAGGTATACAATATTGGGCAAGTTATTCTGGGCTTCGGTTTCCACATTTTTTAACTAGGGATGAGGAACCTTCTTGTGTTGCTATGAGACTAAAGTGGTTAATACATGTAAAGCACTTAGAAAAAAATGACTGGAACAGAGTAAGCATCACTAAATATTACCTTAGTAATAATTACAATTCTATATAATAATCCCTAATATGCAAATCAACTGAACGCGGAATGACCAGTGGAACAACAGTCACTGACACGCACTAACCACCAGGGGGCAGATGCTCAATGCAGGAGCTGTCCCCTGGTGATCAGTGTGCTCCCACAGGGAGGCGTTGCTCAGCCAGAAGCAGGGCTCATGGCTGGCAAGCACAGTGGCAGTGGTGGGAGCCTCTCCCACCTCCGCTGCAGGCAGGCGGTAAGGAGCGAGGGGTCCTGGACTGTGAGAGCCCCGGACTGTGAGAGGGATGTCTGGCCAGGCTGAGGGACCCCCCCCCAACTACCACCAGTGCACAAATTTCATGTACCGGGCCTCTAGTATGGTAATAATTTATTATCATCAGGAGGCCATAGATTAAAAAGAAATTAGAGCGGTAAGAACACTCCAGTCCAGTGATGGCAAACCTTTTGAGCTCTGTGTGTCAGCATTTTGAAAACCCTAACTTAACTCTGGTGCCGTGTCACATATAGAAATTTTTTGATATTTGCAACCATAGTAAAACAAAGATTTATATTTTTGATATTTATTTTACATATTTAAATGCCATTTAACAAAGAAAAATCAACCAAAAAAAAATGAGTTCGCGTGTCACCTCTGACACGCGTGTCATAGGTTCGCCATCACAGTTTAAGCAATTAACAAATACAAAAAATTATATACTACCCAACTATTGTTAATAGGCTAAAAGGAGATTAGAGAATTACCCGTGAATTTTAATTATGCCTCACTCTCCAAATCCCAAATGCTACAGAAAGTAAAGAGTTAGCTGAAATTTCAAAAATCCTATTGGCAGGTCAATGGGAACAAATTTGACACTGCTGAAAATGTTTTTCAGGCACATGCTGCAAAGGTGGCTGTCCAAAATTCTTTGCATTGGTATTGAACTGGAACTGATATGTCCATTACCCACCACCAGCCCGCATCCAGAGCCCTGTGACTGGTGCAGCTGCCTCCACCCTCACTGGCCCTTCTATTGTTCACACCTTTTCTGCTGCTTTCTCTCTTTCTTTTTATTTTTTATTTATTTTTTTTACAGAGAGGAAGGGAGAAGGATAGAGAGTTAGAAACATCGATGAGAGAGAAACATCGATCAGCTGCCTCCTGCACACTCCCTAGTGGGGATATGCCCGCAATCAAGGTACGTGCCCTTAACCAGACTCGAACCTGGGACCCTTGAGTCCGCAGGCTAATGCTCTATCTACTGAGCCAAACCCGGTTAAGGCTTGCCGCTGCTTTCTAAAAGCAAGGGCAGGAACCAGGTGTGGCCAAAGGACAGCAGTAACACAAAGTCTGTGTTTGTTAACATGTAATAGCATTCAGAAGTTTAAGCAATTAACAAATACAAAAAATTATATACTACCCAACTTTTAGCTAATATTTGTATTATAAATATTCTACTGTTATATCATTAAGAAACTAAAACTACAAATAGAAAAGCAGTTATGAGGGGAAAACCACATTTTCTATGTTTTCGAGATATTCCTGTTATAGTTTCAATTATTGATATTTTCTTCTTTCATCCATGACAACTTTAGTTAAGTTGTATCATTGGGATGGATGTTATATTTCCATATTTCAATGAAGTTATAAATTAAGCATTTTTGACACTGTTTTAACTCTTTCAGACCCAAAGGTTATCTCTAGTTATTGGGGTTTCCATACTTTCATTCATGCCATTAAATTGAAAAATGTCAATTTCCTACATTAGAATGGAGTATATACGGCATAACTATTAATATCTATGTATTATACACACATACATATGCAACGAAGGGTAAGTATAAGATGGATGGCAAATCTGAAAAGTCCACTGAGAAGTTTTACCAGTTTCATTCTATGTCCTATATTACAAATGATATAACCCTATATAATAAAAGCGTAGTACGCAAACTGTCCCCTCAACCAGAAGTTGTCTGGGAGTTTGACCAGGGGTTGGGGCCGGCCGGGGGAAGGGAGGGAGGCCCCGGCTGGCAGCTGGCATCCACTAGGGATCCTACCCAGTGCATGCATGCACTGGGCCTCTAGTATATATAAAATAAATAGTGCAGTTAGTAAAATCTATACAATAAAAAAGCTTT